ACGGCCATTTTGATGTTTTGCTAAAAGTTACGCACTTAAGTGTATCCAACATTCCTGCTGAGCTCTTCTGATAGGATTAACGTTCAAAGAAGCCCTTAATAAAGTATACCTTGCGATTTCTGGTCGTTTTTCTATTTTTCCTCATAAATTGACGGCCATATTGAAAAATGCTCAACGTCTTGGAAGTAGCAACCAAGCTAATTTTGCTTCTCTCGACCTAAAGAATGCATTTCAGCAAAAAAAGTTTACAGGAAAAAACATTGCAGGGTTAGCGTTCTGGCTACTCGACTATCATATAGGCAGTACAATTGTACCTGAATATTGTATACTTGTAGGTTGATGATAATTGGCTTATGGTATTCTACCATATTTATACTTTTGCCTCATTTTAAAACTGTCATGGCAACAATAACTAGCTAGTCTGGCAGGGACGTCTTGGGATCAAATAGTAAATTAAGTGTAAAAATCTAATACTGTTATTATAAAAAACCCTTAAGCATGTGTAGTGCATGTATCATAAAATTTTATACTTGAATACATTAATAAGGCAGTTGTTAGACACACGTTAACTCCATATCATATGATATGTACTACATTAACTAAGTGCACTAATAAGTACATAGTGAAGTGTATCCCTATATTGACTGAAAATGATCACCGAGTTACTTTAATAACTTAGAAGTCATACATATAATGGCACTTTAACAAAATTAATGTGAACCAGTAAATAGTATAATTGAAGAGCTCTATCAGCTTAATATGCGTATTTAAGGCATATAAGACATGTTAGACTGTTATATGCCAAAAAAATTTATCTTCAATTTCATTGCTTTCACTTTAATCATCAAACTATACCATTTCCAGATGTGTTGACAAAATATAAATAATTATCTGCGAATCTGTTTGCAGGTTCTTAGTTTTTAATTTGAGCATCTGGTAACAGTAAAAGTAGATTTTTTTAGAAATCAAAAGCAGCTTCATAGATTGATTTAACATTAAAAATTTTCTTGCAGTTTTGGGTAGTATATACCTCAGCAGCTATGGATATTTGCTTACTTATTTATTGCAGTATAAAGGTGTAATACACATTGTATGCCTTATAAATAGTTGTAGCAGGAATATGGAGCAGTAGAGTGTTTGTACTGTATAGTATTATTATTATTATTATTATTATATATATATATATATATATATATATATATATATATATATATATATATGAGTAATCTATAATGCAAAAAAAAAGAAGGAAAAAAGGATCAGTTGGTTGTTGTGAATGAAAAACGTATTCCCTTGATGTGAAAATCAAATGGTATCTCAGGCTTTTTAAATGTTGCTTCATTCCATTTTAGGTTTGGGAATTGTAATAGAGTGGTTTGGTGTTGCAGAAAAAAACTGCCATAGAGCACATTCAGAAGAGCGGACTAACAGATCTGCAGATCAAATATGGTGACAAATTTTAACAGCTTGCTGCTTAATCCACTAAACGGTGATTATGCAACAAGCATTCAAGTGGTTTATTGGCCATATTTGATCTGCAGATCTGTGAGTCCGCTGTTCTGAATGTGCTCATATAGTCTTTTGACTAGGATATCTGTTGAGTTGCAGCAAGGATGTGCAGCATCAGTTGGACAAATCTGCATTTGTTTATTTATTCATGTTTCCTGTACCATATGTAATTTATACATGATGCATATTATTTTGATGTCTTTGCCAGATTTGTTGATATTTTTGGATGTGATGAAAGAATTTAAATGTGCACAGCTTTTTTAACTATAGTTCAATTTTTTCAATAAACCTTGATCTAGTCCTATTTACAAAAGAAATTGCTACATAAGAATGCTGCATCGATATACATGTACCTGTAGATAGTTGACAAGAACACTGATAAATGCACGTGCTTGCCTGATTGTGTGTGGATTTTTGAAGTTCACTTTGTAAATGCTAACTACATACTGACATTTTATCAAATTGAATTTTTGTAAATGTCTGCTCAGGCCTATGGACTCACACATATTTTTCAAATAAGTAAGACAGGTGTGATAAATATATTTTGACAATCAGCAGGCATCCATAAATGAGTGTACAAACATCATTCCTGTTCCCATCAGATTCAACTTAAATCAAAGTTTCTCCTGGATGGGAGGTTATGTAACGTAGAGGAATCGCAAAGGTTCTAAACCTCAGATTTTTTTTCAATCCAGATTTTGTCATTCAGATACATGCGTGTGTATTCATTGACTGGCCTCCCAGATGTGCATCTTTTAATGCTGCAAGATCAGTTGCATGTCATGGTATGGCATTGTCTATCACATCTGGGTTATGCATCTATAATATTATCTTCTCATATATATACTAATATGTATTGATGTGATATTTTAACTTTCATTATGTAACATTTATCTAAGAGGGTCTTCATGTTGGAGTAAAGGATTTTCACCAGGATTTACACAAAGAAATAGCCCTTTGAAATTTAACAAGATGAGATCAGCGTTTCCATGTATGTGTGTAACACATGCTATTTGTATTTTGTGTGAAATGATAAAATTTTACAAATATTCTTGGCAGCTTTTGTGGGCTTATGTGCAGAATTATGTATAGACTTGAATTAGCTCATGTTTAAAACACTAAATTTCCAGTGGAAAACAAACTGAAGGAATTTTTTTTCCAAAACAGAATGGCAGATTTGACTTCATTCACTCCAAATAATAGGTAAGAATCATTCTAAGGCATATGCAGTAGTGCTGCAAAATTTGTCTTTGTGTTCATAGTTTTTCAAGATTCTTTAGAAGTGGGGATGGAAATGGAGGTGTCATACACCTACTTCATCATTTGTGTCTTACAGGTACAGTGCATATATGCAAACACTTATTGTTTATAGATCTTGATGTTTTTCAATTTTATACAGGCATACTGGTATAATGGATTCATGATCTGACAACAGATTTTTTCCGCAACTTTGCAATGCTGGAAGCCCAAAATCTTTTTAGAACACTGATCTTATGCCCAGTTATTTGTAATTTGAAAAAATGTGGATAGAAGTAATTGGTGTTGACTGAAATCACCTCAGTGAGTTATATAAATGTGGTAAGAAATTTGTCTGAGCTGCTTACAGCAATGCTGTTATGTGTGAGTGTTTGTCTCAGCATAACGTATGTGTAGTGAATGTGTAGTGTGTATATGTAAAATCTTTTTTTGGACTTCAGACTGTAAAGTGTAAGAAAATGGTGCTGCCGTAATGTCATGTTTTATTTTACTTATTCGTTTATTATTTTATTTACTTTGAAAAAGAAAATAAAAACTTTTGTCAAATGAACATGCATTTGTCACAATTTTCTTCACTGCATGGATCACTTATAAATACTGATTAGTAATGTGACTTAATTACTGATCTCATTGGATCAGAGGGTGCATGAGAATAGTCTGAAGGTTCAATAGTCCGGAAATTTACTACAGAACCAACAAACACTACGGGCCAACAAACACTTTTATTTAAAAACTGATGAAAATGTTACAATTTTTTTTTGACAAATGAACCTTGGACTATCGAGACGTACCCAGATCAGAGATGTAGCACATGTGAATGACACATATTTAAGCCATGAAATTGCATGCAAAACATGTTGATCTCTAGGCCTCCTGAGAAAAAAAAACTTACCAAAAAGAAAGAAAAATAATTCCATTACACCACATATTAACTATCTTTCCTATGATTAGCAGAACATTTTTGGCCAAGGTTTCAAAAGAAATTTCCTTATTTACAGTAGGCTGCACACCTCGGGCATAAATTTTGGGACCAGAAAATTTCTCCTCTTGTGACGCAAACAAATTAGCTGGGCAGTTTTGTAATCATATTAAATTTCAATAAAGAACCAAAGGAAAAAAAACTTTCCGGGGCATTGCAGTGGCAGATTTAGGAGGGTGTCAGGGGGTCCTGACCCCCCCCCCCCCCCTTCAATTTCTGGAAAAAAAAACACCAATGGTCCACTCTTGAAATTAGAATTTTGACTAGCTGAATCATAGTTCTAACACACAATCATTCAAATCTATAAAAATCCAGTCAAAATTACGAAAACTCGGAAAACATGTACCAGTACGAGTAGTACAAAACCTGCAAAGCTGATTTCACGTTGACACTAAACTTGGCTCCAGTATAGAAGGCCTACCGAGGGGATAATAGTTCAAATGAAAAGCTTGGTATAATTCCCCTGGGAATATAAATTAATGCGGTTCCATATGATGATGGAAGCAAACGGCTATGAATTCAGGCAGAAAGGCTTATAAACGACTGTATTTATCAATGAAAAACCAGTGCATTTAGTATCAGTAATTCCAAACTGAATAGCCAGGAGATACCAATAATCCTGTAATTGCTCCCTTCAGTGGCTAACTACGATGAATAAGAGAGAGACGATAAGTCCGCTTTCGTTATGTCAAAATAAATTCCGTCATTGACACAGGATGTTGTTTCCCGCGAAAATGACTTAACGCGGGAAAACGCATGCGCCCTGTAGAGTAACTGTTCGCGCCTTTTAGGTCATGTGATCAGTTTATTGACATAAGCCAAAGCCCTTTAAAGCAATCCGGCAATTTGATTGGCTCTTAACGCCTGGCCTTCACACACTGCAATCTTTGTGTACTATACCGGCTTGAGACCACAAAGAGAAAGAAAAACTGACAGGTCTCTGATTTTTTTCAGATTCTCGTCGTTTTTCGTCGACTAGCACAATGGCAGCGATGCAGTTTGAAAGTCGGATGTACCCAGATATGGGCTCCCGACCCAAAAGGCTGCGACACGACTCGCAAAGGGGAAATACAGAGGCTTTTAGCATGGGTCAGAAATCCTTAGAGCTTCAAGGTGTTATCCGGGTGCTGAAAAATTACAACGATTATGAAGGTGGAATAAACTGCAGTGTTTGTGGTGAGTTTGGATAATTTTACACTTATTTTACTTTCATATTGTCATATACGTGAAATTGGTTGTGGGGTAATTAGTCAAAGAACCGTAATTGCAATTTAGACGATGGCCATGTGTTTCGGACTTTAACTTGCTTTGTTTGTGCACTGATCAAATCAGATTATCTCGCAGACGGGATAAAATCAAACCACTTAACCCAGATCACACAGTGCTAGGGTAGTGAATCAATAATATAGGCCATATTTTCTGGCTTAAATTACATCATTAGGTATTTAATTAGAATATTTTTTCTGACTCTGTGGGAAAACCACGAGGTCGATGAATATTCATGAGCGTGTTCCATACAAAACATATGCTGCTATAAATAGGAAGTAGGTCATGGAAACATCTGCCGCTTGTATTCAATTTAAGTTGGAAGCCTAATGGTTATATTGTTCGGTGAAAATGGCAGTAGGTCCTACATTGAAGACCAGTAAGTAATAGACAATAACTCACAGAGAAACAATTTAAATCTTTTTCTATAAAATTGATTAGCGCATAAAGCACTGGAATAGTGTTGAGGCTTACTTTGACATATCCAGGAGTTGATTTAGAGATATAAAGTCATTAGGTTATATATTTAAAGATGCGTTCATAACCTCAGGGCCCCAAACTAGGAAAATGTCATGAAATAGTTCTGATCAGGACTACAAACCATGGCAAGACGTTAAAACTTTTCAGTGTCATGTCCTTATGTTTTTATTCCAGTGCGTAGCCATAAGCTCAAAATGGGGGGGGGGGGGCAAAACCATTCAGAAATTTCTGTTGACAGCTCTTTTCCACATTGCTTTACTGATTAAAATCAGTCATATGTAAAAGATGTGCATTCATATTTTTATTTTCCAGGTAAGCTGTATAAGAGCAAGGTATGTTTTACCAAGCATTTATGGGAGCACACAGTCTACTGGGATCAGTTTGCTGGGGAGAAAAACCATGATCGCGTTCTCTCCATTCAAGCTGCACTCATTCTATATAGTGGTAACCATGGCTACACAGAAGAAGACGCCAACATGCTTTCATTTCTTCTTGTGACTTCTCCACATAACGAGAAAAAGCAGAAAGATTACAATGGCAACGAGGCAAAGCTCCACAACAGAAATGAGCGCAAGCAGTCATCGCCACTTAAACGAAAACGTCCATCCAGTGAGACGGATGATGAAGACAGCCAGTGACTAGAGTGTGGTTAAAAAACAGTTGAAAATGTAAATATTGAAAAGCATTATTGTACATAACAAACCTGTAATATATGTGAATATGTACATAGTGAAAACAAAACATGGAACAAGATAGGAGAGAGACTTGAAATAGAATCTGGTGGAACATGAGCAAAGAGAATGATTTTAGACATACATCACATGTCTTACTGTCGAGGAGATAAAGTGGAACAAAGATGGACTTGTTTCTTCAGGTGGATTTTGCTTCTGTGTGAAAAGAACGTTTTGCAGTCTTCGAATTTCAGTCACAAAAGGTGAAATCTTCGGTTGAAGTACTGTTATTACATTTGTTAGGACAATTGTTTTTGCTCATTGTTTTTTATGACAGACAAATGATTGATACAGAGCCAGGTGCATCATTTATTGCCAATACATTAATATGCCATATTGTTGAATTTTTGTCATAGTCATAGCTTCTATTTTTTGCGGATTTACTTTTCATTGGTTGAAAAAAGCTGTTATTCGTGAAGAAAATTGCCATTGGTTTTGATGAATAGGTGATAGGGCTGAAAATGTTAACTTTAATGATATGTTGTATACCTGGGTGGATGGGGGGGAGGTGATATATACCTAGGATTTGAAGGAAATCGCTATACATCTGAAAAGTCTCTTGTAACATTTAATTGTTGGGTACATTGTTGAATTAAGTTTGCCAATAAACACTTAATGATGAGCTAGTCAAGAACTGTATCTTATATGTTTAAGTAAGTGCATGTGGATCCTATGTATAAAATTCTCTTTGGTGTGCACTCTTAAATGATTTATTTCATTTTTGTTTAATTTATTATTTCATTTTAGTGGATTTGATACTGTAACAACACTTGTGACAGTTCTTGGTGGACACATGGTTTGTTTGTTTTAACTTCTTTTGAAATCATTTATCCCATACTTAACTATATTCTGTGTGGGGAAATTGTCTGACATGATGTAGACTGCATTGTATAATTATATTTGATTTTTGCATCTGTTTTATGATTAGAAACAAAGAATAGACTAGGTCCACTTTAGATTCATAACATTATTTGAGTGTCTATTTCCAAATATATCATATAAGATTTCAATACAGGAGTAAAAAATAGATATATTTCACACTTTGACATTTTTCCTGACAGAGAGGATAAACTGGAATGATTTTTCTATTTAAAGCAGTTTTTCATATACTATTTCTACAATTGCTAACCCACACTATATTAGTGTAGGAGTTCCAATAATTTGGTTTGCATTGCAAAGATAAAGACATGCAACGAGTATTTTTGTATCAGTTTATGTGTATGCTTAATAAAAAGCAAAATTACATTTAATTGACTGTATTTTGTTTTAGTTGATGAAATTTTGCAACCTTGTTTTAGCTTAGACTGAGTTGTAGCAGAGGGGACTTCACATGAGAATAAGCCTTTGAAATACCCCTATATACTCATATATATTTTAAATAGTTATTATTTTATTTTATTTTTTTTAACTGGCACATATTCGTGTCTCTTAGTGTGTTTTGTGAACAGCAAATGTGAGCTCGTAATATTGGATTGGATTCTTTATTGATACACCTTCACAAATAAGGTACAATCAAAGACAATTACATCTAACTACAACAGTACGAACAAGTATATAAATAAATATACATGATTTCAATATTGTTAAGTGTAGTTGATGTGCCAGTGCAAATGGCTGGTCTTCTCTAACGCAATGTTGTTATTGTTTCTGTCACATTAGTATTACTTGTTACAGCAATGGATGTCCGGGGTCCCAAATGATTAGTACAGGCTAGGGATGGCGGAGTATTGGGTTAGTATATTGGACGAATGTCGCCTGTGCAGAGTAATGGGGAACGGACACCGGTGTGACAGGAATCGTAGTCCTTACAATGGAAGTCCGGGTTCCCATATGATTACTACAGGTTATGCCCCTATTTCACACCGACTACAAACAACATGAACCGGAAAAAATGAGAAATTTTAGGAATCGTGAGGATTGGTATAATTTTGCACATTTCTAGTAGAAATCTTGACCCTGTCACCCTGAGCTTCAGAGATAACTTGACACTAAGTTATCTCTGATGCTCAGGGTTGACCCTGTAGGATTCAGTTAAGAATTTGTTTAGATAGACTTTAGAATATTCGTGGGACTCCGTTTGAACAGCACGAATGTTGTCAAGAGACATGGAAGATTTGCAAGAATGACTTAGGACAACGTCACGAATATTTTTATTGAGTTAAGTGAAAGCTAAGTATTTGTCGAATGCTCCAACGATTGTGACACAATTATAAATGCAGTCATGACTGTTCTTGAAATTTCGAGGAATGTTCCCTTAAGAGATGAACAAAAAGCCCCTGCTTTACAGAATCGGAAAGGCTAAAAATGCACAAGGTTAACATATCTGAGAATGTACGACGGATTTGTTAAGAAGTGACCAAGATATTTTTTGCATTCGGGAGTTCAAGACCAAAATTTGAACAGCTTGAAACTTTTTTACCGATTTCATGAACCCTCAAAGATTGCAAGAACTGACTGAGAAGAAATAAGAATCAGTTAAGAATTTAACACGATTAAGGTAAGTACCCTGGGGTTTATCAATTCCTGGAATTTCGTGGTATTCGTGGTCGGTGTGCAATAAGGGTATAGGTTAGTATATGGGACGAATGTCAGCCGTACAAAGTAATGGGGAATGGACTACCGTTCCCAGCTGAGTACATTCCTGTGAATGGGGAAATATAAGGAAGCTTTACCGGATATCTATGTGATTAAGACGCGTGTACGCGCGTTAGACAATTATTTTATGGGGGGGGGGGGGGGGGTACTTTTAAATTTACAGGGGTTTACGTGCCATTGTACCGCCCCTTCCCCATCCACGATTGGCCTTTTAAATAAAGTGTTGCTTTTTTAAATATTAAAGGTACTTAAGGTGTAAAATGCTATCAATCCGACCAATTAAGAAACAAAGCAAGAGCAAGTAAACGGATTTTATGTGTGTGTGTGTGTTTAAATAGGTTGACAGGTATTTAATTTGCTGTTGCTAGAGTGCACATATTTTAGATCCCTTCAATTTACATATATTAGAAAATCTTATGTCTATGGATTTCAAATTAAAGTCAGATAAAAGATATGCTCTGAAATTTTAATTCTTTGTAGCCATGACTTGTGGCAGAAACACCTTTTTGAAAATAAACACATCTAGGCTTGATTTTACGTTCTGGCTGAACCGCAGTTCACTTTTCTTCCCCAAACAGAACTTTTTGCTTCACTTAAAGGGATAATAACTCTTCGTATGAGGTCTATATTTCACAATAAAAACACTGTGAATAACTCATAGAAATATAATATATTCTGTTTTACGACAAAAACAGGAGTTACAGCTATTATTCTGATATCTGAGCTTGTCTTCAGACCACGTGACCTCCATATATGGTTATACTCTGTTATAATCTCTTAAGAGATTTTAACAAAAAAAAAAACAAACTTTTTAGAAAAAAACAGGGACTAACTTTGAATGTAAAAATGGATTCATTAACCATTGATAAGTATGGGAAAATTGTTTTCTCCAGGAAAATTCATTTTTTGGCCAAAACGAAGAGTTATTATCCCTTTAATAACGTCTATCAGATTTCTACTTAGTAATGTCTGAACAAGGTCGTAATTTTCTAAAAAAAACGTTTACACGCCTTAGGGAGAAAATTACAGGTTTTTGAAGGTTAAACGATTTATACCTACATATCCATCTACAAAAACACGTCAATTTAGTGCCGTAACGACCTGGCAGGAACGCGAAAAGAAACATTGCACACACGATTGTGAGCACGTTCGCCACAGTCACGCGTGAAATATTTTCATAATATTACGCAATCGGTAGCTTCTTAAGATTCAAAACGAATGGTAAGTTTTGACAATAAAGCAGCAGTACCTATATATATATATATATATATATATATATATATATATATATATATGTTTTCACTACGGGAAATTGGGTGTTGCAACAAACAATCTAGACAAGTGCAAGCAGCTGCAAAGAACGTCAACGCCAGTCCACGATTAAGATGTTGCCTTCAAAAACCTTAACTTTGTTAACGGGGCTATGCTTTCTTGGCGTTGCGTACGGGTGCTATCTTTTCAGCGACGGATGTAGAAATTACCGTTGCTGTGTGGGAGACACGTACCCTACCCTTATCCCGCCAGGAATATGCTGCGAGAGATGCACGTGGAATCAGAGAACGTATTACCCAGGACAGTGGTTCTACCCAGCTGGCGAGCCTAATCGACTTTGTGTCTGCATGAGATGCGGAAGAGTGTACTGTTCACCGTCAACGCGCCATCGATGCAGCCCGTCACGATATTTCCGGAACAAGTTGTGGTTCACGGGTTCATCGGTCGGTCCTCTGTGTCGCTGTCGATCTGACAATACTGTTGTTTGTGGCCGTGCTGCATGCTCCTGGCCCTAAAGGTATGGTTTCTTGAGCAGAATTTGAGTTAGTTTTATCTGTAGAGCAGACACACCTACATCAATCCTAGCAATTAGAGTTTAAAAGAAACGGCCTTTTTAATTTATTGCAGTTGGTAATAAAATATATAAAAAGGACCCTTGGGAGATCTACAAGTGACGAAAGACCTTGAGGGGAAGCCTCTGATAAGTATTGTCAAACGGTAATACTTAAATAATTTTTATTTCATATTTGTAATTTAGACTTGCACCAGCAGAAAATCGACGGCAGACACCAGACATGATCGTATGGTGAAACTAAGGAATCCTTATTCTAGACCATGCTAACTTGACCATGCTGTTGATGACAAACTTCCCTTAAACTTGGAAATTAGAAGTGAAAAGTATAGGTATACTGGAACTACGTTATAATATGATGAAATATATGACTGTCTTCACACTAAGTGATTTGACTGAATGATAACCTGGGTAAATGTTGATAGAATAACCTCCTGTTTTTAATATAAAATTTTATGTAAATTTGAAGTTTACAACTTCCTCACGGCCAATAAAAGCATGGATTAAATAATATAGTTTTTCTTTCATTTGATATGACGTTGATGTATCTTATAAAATACTATTAAACTGTGGCCAATCAAAGAAGAGCGGTCAGGCTAACATTTCTTGGTCGTATAATTTGTTGTTAAATTTGTTAACTTCTCTGACAATTATGCCCTTACCAGGCCCTTTGTAAGCTCAGTGACTACAAAAGATTTAAAGTTTACACTATTGCCAATGATCCAGAATTTTTAAGGGGAGGGATAGAGGGTGAGGGGAGCACAAGAGCACCAGGGGAGCAAGGATTGGGGTTTTACATAATTCATTGCTTGTTTTATATCGATACGGCGATAAGGATGTACATGTAGAATGCAATCAATCCGACCAATCAAGAGGCAAAGCTGGAAGAAATACATAGGAAATGCATTCAGGGGCATTTTATTTGCTGTTTATGGAGAACACATATTTCACATCTCTTCACAATTGACATAATATGTCTTAAAAACCAAGATTAATGTTGTTTGTTAAAACCTGATGTTTATGGATTGCAATTAGCAAGTCAAACAAAAATATAAATACTTTGTAGCCGTGACTTGGAACAGGATCGTCTTTCTGAACGATAAACACACCTTAGTTAGACTTTTTCTTTGGAAGAACAGAACGCAAAAAGGTCGTTTGTACAATTTGTCTTAAATTGGGGGGAAATATTTGGTTCTGGCGCTATCGGCAGTTCTTTGGTGTAAAGCCCTACTGACCATCATGCTATCGAAAAATTTAAAATTTGAATAACATATTTTGCTTCATATTTAATGTAAATTCTGATTCATTCAGTTGTGATGTTTACAGGTAAAATTATGAACTCTAATACTGGACACTGACGTAGAGATTCCGGCGTATCGCCCTCATCCCAAGGACATCTTCAAGGAACTGTCACTACAGGTGACATTGCTGGTGTTATTGCAGTTATTACGTGACAGTCGGCACGGAATCAAAAGGACTTTTTCAAGTTTATCAACGAGCTTGATAGTAATATCCCTTTCACACAGGAGGAGTGCCAAGAATGACACTTTACCTTTTCTAGACTTGTCTTGTTACCCTTTTTGAGAGACGCGAGTTCGAGACCAAAGTATACCGTATGAGTACACACACACAGTCCAGTACCTCCATTTTACCTCCAATCACCCCCTCATTCAGGGATCATTACCAGACCCTATCGTACTAACTGTAAATCGACCTATCTTCAAGGGGATTCTCGCTAAATTGCAATCAAACTTAAGCGGCTTATATGTCTGTCACGCCTACTGAAGCTGCTAGGGGGGAATTAATTATCGTTTAGCAACATCAGTAGGTGTGCCAGACAATTTAGCGAGAACCCCTCGTAGAGGGATCGATCCTGTTAGATCGATTTAGGTATGGGAACCCAGTCTCAGTGCGGATATCCTGATTGGTCTTTCATTAAAGCCAGAGCCACACCCCCAATTAAAAAAAAAGACACCAATAAAAAACACCAAAGCAGAGGGAAAGATGGTGCACATTGGGGTACCGTACACTCTACCAGGGCGACAGATTGATTTTTCAATTGAGTTATATTTTACACATTTAAGAAATCAGGTCACTCCTTTGACTTGAAGGATGTGATAGTGTTGGACAAGGAAGAGGACTGGTTCCGGAGAGGTGTGAAGGAGGCCATACACGAAAGGATTGTAAAGCCTAGATTAAACCGGAGCGGGGATCTGCGTTTCCAGCTACATTATTTGTGGGACCGAGCCCTGGCGGCGATTCCGTGCCGACTGTCACGTGTTAACTGCAATACCACCACCAGTGCAGTGCCACCTGTAATGAAAGTTCCCTGAAGATGTCCTTGGAATGAGGATGTAACGTCGGAATTTCTACGTCAGTGTCCAGCATTAGAGTTAATAATATTTTGCATCATTAAGTAACGCTTAAATGTCACATTCATCTATACGTACAAATTATTACGAAAATAGGGTAGTAAATGTTCACGCCTTTCGGATTAAGTGTGCAGATTTTTAGAATGCAAAAATTTAAACAATATCTACAGTTTAGTGCATAAAGACCTTGAATGACAGTCAAGTTACAACAATAAAAGCACGCTCACCACAGTCGCGAGTTCAAAATATTTGCACATACCACCGGCATCTTAACACCCAAGGTGATTGGCTAGTTTTGCCGTCGGAGATTATATATACTAGGGATGTCACGTTGTAGCAACACATAATCTAGAGACGCTGCAAGTTACTAGAAAGTCTGCCATTATCATGTTGAGTTCAAAATCCTTCATTTTGTTCACTGAACTGTGTTTTCTTGCTGTAACCTACGGCTGCTTTACCTTCAACGACGGGTGTAGAGATTACCACTGCTGTCAGGGAGACACGTGGCCTACACTTTTCGTGGGAAAGTGTTGCGAGAAATGTACATGGAATCAGAACACGTATTCTCCAGGACAGTGGTTTTACCCGGCTGGCGAGCCTAATCGTCTTTGTATCTGCGTGACATGCGGAAGAGTGTACTGTTCACCGTCACGGTACCATCTTTGCAGTTCGTCACGATATTCCAAGAACAAGTTGTGGTTCACGGGTTCATCGGTCGGTCCACTGTGTCGCTGTCGATCTGACAATACTGTTGCTTGTGGTGCTGCTGCATGTTCCTGGCTATCCAAGTAATGTTTCCTTGAAGATATTTTGATTTTTATTTTGATCTAACAAGCATTTAAACCTACATTAATTCGGCCATATTAAGAATACAGAAGTATGAGCGTCTTTTAATGTGTCGACATAAAAAATGGTCTCTTATAAGTTTTATCTACATTTTTTTGACAAAAGTGTTAATTGTTCTGTATGTTTTATTTGAAATACAGACTTGAGCCAATAGAAGATGGACGGCAGGTCGCACAGTCCCCGAATGCTGCACCGTAGGAGTCACAGGGAGAAACTGAAGAAACGGACACGGGGGAATCTGTGTTCTGGCACTGTGCTAACTTGACCGCATTTTAAAATTATTTAGAGGGCAATAGTACGAATACACTGGACCTATGATATAATATATTGAACTATGCATTGCTGTAAATACACCATGTATTTTGACCGATTCCTTTGACTGGTGTTGATAGAATAATCTGCTTTTTTCAATTTTCATGTTCAGAGCTATCATTAGAATACTTTAAATGTTAGAGATAAAATTTACAGCTTACTCACGGCCAATAAATGTGTGGATTGAGGAATCAAGTTTTATGACCATCGTTTTTTCCAAACACGTTGTTACGTTGATGTATTCTATAAAAAATAAAACTGCGCTCAGTCAAATAATATGACTAAGCTTAATTTTCTTGGTCACGTGTTGTCAAAGCCTCTGTTGCAACACTTCCAGAACGTATTTACCTCCGCCAAGGAGGTTATGTTTTCACCCCTGTTTGTCTGTTTGTCTGTCTGTCTGTCTGTCATCAACATAACTCAAACAGTTATGAACCGATTTTGATAAAATTTTCAGGAACTGTCAGAAGAGATGATTAGTTTTTGGTGGTTATCCGGATCAATAATCAATCAATAATCAATAATAATAAAAAATTGCTGCCTTGTCGGAGGTCTGCGCTCTCGGAGTACTTTTCTAGTTTTCTTTAAATTTACTGGAAGTCAGACCTCGTTTGTTTCGTTTCGCTGGTGACACTTTTCTAAATCCACTCATTTAATAATTGTTTTTGTTTTGGAGGGGTAAGGGGCACTTCCAAGGAAACGGCGATACATGCCCTCTGTGCATACCTCCGATCCCTACCGCGTTTTGACTTTTAAATAAACCATTGCTTGTTAAATATTAATACAGCGAAGAAGTCTCAGAATGCAATGACTCTAACCAATCGAGGCATCAAGCAGGAGGAAATAAATAGAAAATGTATAGGCCCTACCTTGTGTCTTTAAGAGAGGAAATTAGTATTTAATGTGCTGTTGATAGAGTGCACATGGTTCACTTCACTTTACAGGTGACATTACATCTATTGGAAAACAAAAGTAAACGTTAAACCTGTCAGAACCTTATGTTTATGGATTACAAATTTACAAGTCAAGCAGACATTTTTGAAACCTCAAATTCTTTGTAGCCTTGACTTGGAGCAGAAACGTCTTTTTGCATATAAACACAACTTGAAGACTAACTGTGTGTACAGAGGAAACCACAGCTCCCTTTTTTTCTCATCCAAGGGGAACAAAATACGCAGAATGACCATTTGTACAGTTTTGAAATCAAGGGTAAGAAAGAAGAAATATTCCAGGCGCGATCGGCAAATTTTAGTAATAACTTGCAAGCATGAACAATGAACTATAATTGTTGCAAATTAAAAATTTGAAGAGAAATCGACTTTTTACGTCAAACTGTTACATCCATTACTTTATTCATAGTCATATCAGAACAGGGATGGTATTTTTCGGAAATTGATCTACAGGCATTTGGGATTTAATATGCAGGTTTTGAAGAAAAAAACCCTTAAAATTAGCGTCTTCGCATAACGGCCTTGAACGCACGACAAAAGAAAAATTACGGCATTGAGAATACGCCCACAAAAGTCAGGCATAAATATACTTTCGTCCGTCACCGGATTTAGATTCAAGACGATTGGTTAGATTTTTAAGAAGTGAAATAAAACTTGCGCAGCTGGAATTTTACGTATATATACCAGCGGAAACGGGATATTGCAGCAAACGATACAGAACACAGTGCAAGTTTGTGAAAAGTAAATTTCCGTCAGTCTGTTTATGATGTGGCCTTCAAAAGCATTCGTCTTGTTCATCGAGCTATGTTTACTTGCTGCAGCGCATGGTTGCTACATTTTTAACGACGGGTGTAATGATTTCAGTTGTTGTGAAGGAGACACGAACCCTACCCTCGTCAACCTAGGAGAATGTTGCCTCAAATGCACATGGAATCAGAACACATATTCCCGGGGACAGTGGTTCTACCCGGCTGGCGAGCCTAATCGTCTTTGTATCTGTACGTCATGCGGAAGAGTGTACTGTTCGCCGTCACAGTACCACCTATGCAGCTCGTCACGATATTACATGAACAGGTTGTGGTTCACGGGTTCATCGGTCGGTCCACTATGTCGCTGTCGATCTGACAATACTGTTGCTTGTGGTGTTGCTGCATGCTACAGGCCTTAAAGGTAATGTTAATTTGTTATATCGAGCAGCCTTTTATATTATCTATAAAGCATTTTCACTTACTCAATCTACAACTTCGATTTAGAATAGAAAACTATGAGCGCCGTCAAGCTTGTAGCAATTCAAAATGAAAGCAAATACAACCATGTCTTTGATAATTTTTGTCAAACAGTAATGTTGAATTTTTTTCTGTTTTACAGTAGTGTTAATTGTTTTGTATTTCTCATTTGACATATAGACTTGAGCCAAGTGAAGATGGACGACAGGGTGAACAGTCGCCAAATCCTGCAACGGGGGCATCATAGAAAGAAACTAAAAAATCCGTATTATGGCAGCATGCTAGATTGACCATGTTGTTAATTTTTTTCTATACGTTGATGAAAATTAAATGGTAATAATATGAATAAACTGGACCTTTGTTATAATATATTGAACTATGAATCCGGGGAAGGTGTTGGTAGAATAATCTGCTGTTTTTCATTTTAATGTTCAAATATTTCATAAGAATACTGTAAATGTTATGAGACGAATTTTAATGTGAAAACAACTAACCTGTGGCCAATAAATGTATAAATTGAGCAATTAAGTTTTTTGGCCATTTTTTCCCAACACGATGGTCGCACAGTCCTCCAATGTTGCACCACAGGAGTCATAGGGAGAAATTGACGAAACGGACACGGGAGAATCTGTGTTCTTGCACTGTCTTAACTTGACCATATTTTAAAATTAATCAGAGGGCAACAGTATGAATACACTGGACATAATATATTGACGTGAATTGCTGTGAATACCTCATGTATTTTGACTGAATTGTATCCAAGAAAGGTGTTGGTAGAATAGTCTGCCGGTTTTTTTTTTTTTTTTTTTTTTTTTTTTTTTTTTTTTTTGTAATGTTCAAATGTATCATGAGATTACTTTAAATGTTATGAGATGAAATTTACAACTTACTCTTACCAATAAATGTTGGATTGAGCAATCAAGTTTTATGATCATTTTTTATTAAACACGTAACATTGGCATAATCTATTAGTATAAAATACATTGTACTATATAACTGCGTCCATTCAAATAATATGACTAAGCTTTCTTGATCACATTACGTGTTCTCAAAGCCTCTGTTACAACACTTTGAGTAGTTTTTTTTTATTTTATTTATTTATTTATTTATTTTTTGCTTATCTAATTTGTTTTCCGACAATACTAATGCCACTGGAAGGGAGACCCCGTTTAGTGCTGTTTAGCCCNGATCGATCCTGTTAGATCGATTTAGGTATGGGAACCCAGTCTCATTGCGGATATCCTGATTGGTCTTTCATTAAAGCCAGAGCCACACCCCCCAATTTAAAAAAAAAAAGACACCAATAAAAAACACCAAAGCAGAGGGAAAGATGGTGCACATTGGGGTACCGTACCCTCTACCAGGGCAACAGATTGATTTTTCAATTGAGTTATATTTACACATTTAAGAAATCAGGTCACTCCTTTGACTTGAAGGATGTAATAGTGTTGGACAAGGAAGAGAGCCTGAGGTGTCAAGGAGGCCATACACGAAAGGATTGTAAAGCCTAGATTAAACCGGAGCGGGGATCTGCGTTTCCAGCTACATTATTTGTGGGACCGAGCCCTGGCGGCGATTCCGTGCCGACTGTCACGTGTTAACTGCAATACCACCACCAGTGCCACCTGTAATGAAAGTTCCCTGAAGATGTCCTTGGGATGAGGATGTAACGTCGGAATTTCTACGTCAGTGTCCAGCATTAGAGTTAATAATATTTTGCATCATTAAGTAACGCTTAAATGTCACATTCATCTATACGTACAAATTATTACGAAAATAGGGTAGTAAATGTTCACGCCTTTCGGATTAAGTGTGCAGATTTTTAGAATGCAAAAATTTAAACAATATCTACAGTTTAGTGCATAAAGACCTTGAATGACAGTCAAGTTACAACAATAAAAGCACGCTCACCACAGTCGCGAGTTCAAAATATTTGCACATACCACCGGCATCTTAACACCCAAGGTGATTGGCCAGTTTTGCCGTCGGAGATTATATATATACTAGGGATGTCACGTTGTAGCAACACATAATCTAGAGACGCTGCAAGTTACTAGAAAGTCTGCCATTATCATGTTGAGTTCAAAAACCTTCATTTTGTTCACTGAACTGTGTTTTCTTGCTGTAACCTACGGCTGCTTTACCTTCAACGACGGGTGTAGAGATTACCACTGCTGTCAGGGAGACACGTACCCTACACTTTTCGAGGGAAAGTGCTGCGAGAAATGCACATGGAATCAGAACACATATTCCCCGGGACAGTGGTTTTACCCAACTGGTGAGCCTAATCGACTTTGTATCTGTACGACATGCGGAAGAGTGTACTGTTCACCGTCACAGTACCATCTTTGCAGTTCGTCACGATATTCCAAGAACAAGTTGTGGTTCACGGGTTCATCGGTCGGTCCACTGTGTCGCTGTCGATCTGACAATACTGTTGCTTGTGGTGCTGCTGCATGTTCCTGGCTCTCGATGTAATGTTTCCTTGAACATGTTTTGATTTTTTTTATCTAACAAGCATTTAAAACTACATTAAGTCTGCCATATTAAGAATACAGAAGTATAAGTGTCTTTAAATTTGTCGACATAAAAAAATGTTTCTTATAAGTTTTGCTGGCATTTTTTAAACAAAAATTGTTAATTATTTTGTATGTTTTATTTGACATATAGACGTGAGCCAATAGAAGATGGACGGCAGGTCGCACAGTCCTCCAATGTTGCACCACAGGAGTCATAGGGAGAAACTGAAGAAACGGACACGGATGAATATGTGTTCTTGCACTGTCTTAACTTGACCATATTTTAAAATTAATTAGAGGGCAACGGTATGAATTCACTGGACATAATATATTGAACTGTGCATTGCTGTGAATACATCATGTATTTTGACTGAATGGTATGCAGGAAAGGTGTTGGTAGAATAGTCAGCCGAATTTATCATTTTAATGTATCATTAGGTATACTTTAAATGTTGTGAGATGAAATTACAACTTACTCACGGCCAATAAATGTTGGATTGAGCAATCAAGTTTTATGATCATCGTTTCTTATTCAACACATAACATTGACGTATTCTATAAAATACATTGTACTATGAAACTGTGTTCATTCAAATAATATGACTAAGCTTTTTTGATCACATTACGTGTTGTCAAAGCCTCTGTTACAACACTTTGAGTAGCCTACGTATTTTTGCTTATTTACATTTTTTTCGACAATACTAATGCCACTGGAAGAGAGACCTCGTTTGGTTTTGTTTTGCTCCGCTGATGACACTTTTTTATCTACTCATTTAATAATTTATTGTTTTTGCTTTGGAGGGGGAAGTGGTACTTCCAAGGAAACGGCGAAACATGCCCTCTGTGCATACCTGCGACCCCTGTCGCGATTTGGCTTTTTAAAAATGAATCATTGCTTGTAAAGGGTATTGTAACACTTTATTATCATCCAAATACCGAAAATGAGTTTTTTTCCTGCAACTAATAATTGCATCTATCTTAGTGCTGATTTAAAACAACGAAAAAGCCCTCCAAAATATAAAATGTCGGTGTTTACATTTTTTTTTTTTTTTGTTGCAATGTAGAAGCATAGGCAACTCAAAGCTCGAATCTTCAATTTAACACCTTTCTTTTTTTTTGGGGGGGGGGGGGGGGGGG